TGGTGAGTTGTTCTTTACCGAAAATGATATTCCTAGAATTCGTAGATTAGATTCGAATGGTTATTTGAATACTTATGCTGGTACGATGAGTCAAGCATTTTGTGGTGATAATGAAAATGTTACAGTGGCAAAATTTGATTATCTACAACACATTGCTTTCAATTCTTTGGGAGAATTAGTTATTGCGGATGTCTATAATCATAGAATTAGAAAGGTTGCTGTAAATGGTATTGTTTCCACCATTGCTGGTTCTTTAAATTTGAATTATGTTTCTAGTGGTGATGGTGGACCTGCTACAAGTGCCAAACTTATTAATCCTTATGGTTTTTGCTATACTAAATATAATGAGCTAATTATTGCTGAAACGAATAACAATCGTTTAAGGAAAGTTTCATCAAGTGGTATTATTACAACACTAGCAGGTACAGGTACAGCTGGATATGGTGGTGATGGACAATTATCAACCTCAAATACTGTTCTATTGAATAATCCTCGAAGTGTTTATTGTGCAGATTCAGGTGATATTTATTTTACTGATACTGATAATTATAGAATTAGAAAGGTTGATACCAATGGTTATATTTCAACAGTGGTTGGTACAGGAAGTTCCACATATAACGGAGAATTGGAACCATTATCTACCAATATTGGTAAACCACTTTTTGTAACAATATTTAATGGAACACTTTATTTTTCTGATGACAGTTATAGAATTCGTAAAGTGTATAACAATGTGATAGTTGTGGGAGGTACTGGGGTACGCAGTTGCTTGAGTATTCAAACAGTGGCTAGAACAGCCAATATGGAACCGCTTAGTATTGTTTTTAACCAAAAAGGGGAATTGTTTTATACAGACCAAATTTGCAGAAAAATTCGTAAAATTGGTCTTGATGGTTCATTATCTGATGTAACAGTAGTTGGGGTTGGGATATTTACAACCAATGGTGATGCAAAAATTGTATCAACAGGTCTACCACAGTCTTTGGCAATTGCATCAAATGGAGATTTGTATTTTACAAATGATAACTATTATATTTTGAAAGCATCCAAGTACTGTACCACANATGCATATAATGATCAGTATGATTTA